TCTTCATAGCTTATCATTCTTAGTAGCTCATACTCCCTGAGTACTCTTGTGTAGTTTAGTATATATAAGTGTACAAGATTAGACTGGTCCTATAGTCTTGATCTTGTCTACTCTAAGTAGTCCTGTACTCTTAGGCTTACTCTATATACTCTACTCTTGTCTCACTCTCTCTCTCTGTCTGTTCTACAAGTTCTGACTATATTCTAGTGCTTGTGTTCTGTATTTCTGTTGTGTAGGATAGTTGTAGCCTAGGTCCCCTTGCTGAGCCTTCAGGTCCTCTCTACACTGTTACTGACAATAGTAAACTTAAACAATTTCAGAATAATATTTATAAAAACACATCCAACTTTATTAGGGACTAGATATGGAAAATCAAGACTGTCTAAAGAGATAGAACATTATGGCCAGCTTCTATAATCATTCACTCTGATTTTATTAATAATATTATCTTTTACTAGTAATTAGTAAAATATTTAGAAAATAAATATATGTATCAAAAAACTTTAAGAACCTAATTTATCCAATCAGAATAAGTAGTTTTCCAAGCTTATACCTTTAGCTTTGAGTCTAGGAAAAATCTTATAAGGAAAAACAGTTAAAAATTATGTATTTTAATTTTCACAAAATAATAATAAGAGACATTAATAAATAATATAATAAATCTTTTCTACTATTAGAAACATGAATTTAGTAACTTATTTAATCAAATTCTATTAAGAATTAATAGAGATATAGTATTATCTTTTTTTCTTCTACATTTTGTAACAAAAAATTATATAATTTACCTTTTTTACAAGACTTTTACAAACAGTTGTAACAGATAACTAGTTTAGTAAACAAATCAGATAATATGAAAACTATTATTTATACCTTACTTATTTAGTTATAATAAATATACATTTACATATATAATTATTTTTAAATTAAACACTATACTTTAGTACTTATTTTGAGAGTAAAAAATTATAATAAATATAGTATTAAAAATATACTATATTATAAAGACTATTTAAGACCTTTTAGTAACTTATTATTATTTACTTAAATAAATTGTTAGTAAAGAAGCTGACTCTGACACAGTTTAGTTATTATAACAGTTAACATTGTCTTTTGTTTCTTTAAAGAAGTAGAGACTTGTTATACTATATAAATCTTTAAATAAAGTTAAACTAGGTACATTAATAAAGTTTTAAAGTAAAGTTAGCTTTAAAAGTGTATGTACTTAAGTTTTAAATACTATAATAAGCAAATAATTTTATGTTTGTATATAAGATATTTTGTTTAATTAGTGTTAGTAACAGTGTAGAGGGGACCTAAAGGCTCAGTAAGGGGACCCAGGCTACAACTATTTTACACAACAGAAATACAGAACACAAGTACTAGAATATAGTCAGAACTTGTAAAACAGACAGAGAGAGAGAGTGAGACAAGAGTAGAGTATATAGAGTAAGTCTAAGAGTATAGGACTACTTAGAGTAGATAAGATCAAGACTACAGGACTAGCCTGATCTTGTACACCTATATATACTAAACTATACAAGAGTACTCAGAGAGTATGAGTCACTAAGAATGATAAGCTATAAAGAATGAAAGAAAGGAAGGTTAAAGATAAAGGTACAAAGAATGAAGGGATAGACAAAGGGTAAGAGACTATAGAATGAACAAAGAATGAAAGAGTAGTCAAAGGAATAGAATGATAAAGTAAGGAGGGGTAGTAGTAAGAGTTAGTATGTATATAGTCTATAAACAGTACCTCTGAGGGATGAAAGTCCTGAGTTCTAGTACAGAAGAGTGTAGAACCCTCAGAACTGAAAGTATAAGAGTAGAGAACTATAACATTACTCTCCCTCTAAAACCAATCATTCTGATTGGTAAACATTAGGCTTGGTTAGTAGTTTGAGTATAAGTCAGAACAGTAGGGTTTAGAAATCTATAAGGTAGAGTTGACACAGAGCACCTGGATGAAGTCAATAGAAGTCTTAGATTGTCTTAGTAGTATGGGTGAGATTCTTAGTAGGTTCTCAAGTGTGTTCTTCAACTGAGTATCCCTTCTAGTAGATAAGGAACTTGAGCTTTCTATATACTAGCTTAGTATTCACTACATACTCTACTTTGTATTCTGGTTTAAAACCAATAAGTTCTGGTAGAGGTAGTAAGGGTCTTTATTATAAAGGAAAACCTGGATCATAATACTAAGACAGTAGAACCTTATTAAACACTAGGTGTATACACTTCTATGTTGTCAGAAGTTAGAGTTTGTAAGTAGAGGTGCTGACCTTCTTTTTAATAATGAAGGGTCTGAAGCACTTGTTGTCTAACTTCTTTATTAAGTAATCTGTAGTCAGATTAGTAGCTTTCAGTATAACTTTGTTCCTAGGCTAGTAATCCTTAGCTGTAAATCTCTTCCAATCATAGTTCTACTTTATTACTTGTACTACCTTCTCTAAAAGAGCTTATACATTTTTCCTAGTCTTGTGTATCTGTTCTACAAAGTCTGTTACAGATTCAGAACTACTGTTCTGGTTTGAAACTGTCCCCTAGTATGAATGTCTCTCATGATTGAGGAAGAACAGGGACTGTCCTATTGTAGAGTGTTACTAGTTATTATACACAAATTCTGTTAGAGCTAACTATTCAGACTAGTCTGACTACTGATAATTAATAAACATTCAGAGATAGAGTTTGATCTTCTGATTGACTCACTCAGTTTGACTATCAGTCTGTAGGTAATATGTAGTAGAAGGGTTCTCTTGAATTCTAAGAAGTACATACAAGTCTTACATGAATTTCAACTCAAATTACAGTCTACAATTATAAATAAGCTTCTAAGAGAGTCTGTACAACTAGAAGACATGATCCTAATAAATGTACACTATACTTTCAGAAGTGAGTTCTGTTTGGGTCAGAACTACATAGACTTGCTTAGAGAATTGGTCAACAATTACACAGATAGTATTATAACCCTAAGACTTAAGTAACTTACTAATCAGGTTTACTAAGACTTCTTCCTAAGAGTGATCCAGGATCTGATACAAATGTAAGAGAGTCTGAACCCTTGTCTAGTAAGCCTTAGTCTGTTAGTATGTATTATAACTAGTTATATACTTTAGGATTTCCCTCTACATTCCTAGCTACTAGTAGTTCTGAGTAATAAGTTTCTGTGTTTTGTATCAGTCTGAATGTTCTACAGTTAGATTATTATAATAAGCTTAGACAATGTCCTTCTACAGCTTCTAATCCTTCAGAACATACAGTCAGCCTTTCTAGTAAACCTGTCTATCCTTATCCTCCTTCTAGTCTCTAACTTACTTCTCTAGCTACTTTACTACAACCTAGTCCTATGTGTAACTTAGAGCTTACTGTATGTAGGTGACAAAGTTAATATCCTTGGATTTGAGTTGGATCTCTCAGATTGTCTTGGACACAAAACAGGAATTGTTTAGGAGAACAAGATTTTTATTATTATTCTCCCTCCTTTTATAACCTACTTGTCTTGAGAGTAAATTGGCTTTCATTATTTGTGTTCTAGG